ATATATTTTTTACTGTTTGTTATTCTATTGCGGTCATTTTGATACCTCACTTTGTTAAATTTGATCGAAAAATAACGATTTTATGATTTTTTCACATTGGGTAAATTTCACTATGGATACGCATAACGGAAGTTCGTCCCAACTTACGCAATGTTAACATTTATTTTCGTGATCAGGGCGTCATGGGGCTTCAGAAAAATATTGGTTCGGAGGTTTGTGGGGGGGGGGTGCACGGTGGACCCTTCTAGCTCCCGGACTATTGCTTAATCGCAACCAGAAACCAAAGGCACACAGTTATTATGCATCTATGCTCTGTGACCAGAGGCAAGGGCTTCAAAATATAGACTCCAATACGAAATATGACGTAATATAGAGAGTACGAGCGTGAGAGGGTAGAATATGTTACTGATACATAACGTTGCGTTGTTTGATCTCTTCCACAGGTCGTCAAGATGCTCGTCGTCGTCGTCGTTCTCTTCGCCATCCTCTGGATGCCCTACCGGTTCATCCTCGTCTACAACTCATTCCGCAGCCTCGCCAACAAGTCCCAGCTGCAGGACTACTGGTACTTCATGTTTGCCAAGACACTGATCTACATTAACAGTGCCATCAATCCGATCCTGTACAATGCTATGTCGGTCAAGTTTCGCCGGGCATTCAAGCATCTGCTGACCTGCGGTCGGGAGGATGACCCACGGGGATACTACTCACGCACGATGTCTACCGTCGTATGAATGATAGGCAGTCCACGCCGTCTCAAGTTCATCGCAGTCTAGACGAAAGTTGGACCACACGACTGATATCTATCGGAGTGTAAATTATAGATGGACCACGACGACTGATGTGAACACTACGTCTAAATGACCAATAGTCCACATCAATTCGTGTCCCTCGTAGGTCTAAATGGTCTACATCACTTGAAATCTATCGTAGTCTAAATCACCGATGCTACGCATCAATTGATGGCCATCGTACGTCTACAACGCATCCTTTTATGTATATAACCAAGTATCACCAGTGTCTAAACACGGGACGCGTGCACAGTACACTTCAACCTGAATGTCTGCTGTTCCATCTTCAACGACTAACCTATCCGGGATACGGTGGTTTCGCTATACACATAATTATAATCGAATGGCGAATCTCGCCGTCGCGATGTAACGGAGTACACGCTGGGACGGTGGATTACGAGCAACTGTTGCCTTACTGATTATTAGGATTTAATAACGACAAATTGTCCCTCTGTATTTATATATAGGGACCCGATTGTTCCGATATATTTGTCATTATTAACTCCTGCTGAATATGTTACATAGAGTGACTGCGCGCAGTTTCGCGTCGTTTGCGTACGCACCGGATACCTGGTGTTCAATACTGTTTCGCGCAAAATGAGAACCGTTAGTGCGTTCGCTACAATGGGCCTCCCCCTCCATGATTCTACGTCTCGATCGCGAACAGTAGATTTTCAGATTATTTGTGTAAGTTTCATTGTCGTCTATGTGTGATGGTTTTCTTCTTCGATCGAAACATTTGATTCAGTGAATAATCGATAATGTGATATCGATATGAATTAACGCAATGATTGATTTAAATTGCTGAAGCCATGTTTAAATGAACTAACGATTATTTGTTAGAATATCATATATATCACTAATGCCATAGTTCAAGTAATTACACATAACATTACGTTCATACATGACATTACGTTCAAACGCTTCCAAAAACATCATATATGCACGTACACGTACACACATTTACACCTACACTGACACATAAATCCATCCATCCATCCATCCATCCATCCATCCATCCATCCATCCATCCATCCATTCATTCATCCATCCATCCATCCATCCATCCATCCATCCATCCATCCATCCATCCATCCATCCATCCATCCATCCATCCATCCATTCATTCATCCATCCATCCATCCATCCATCCATCCATCCATCCATCCTTCCATCCATTCATCCCTCCTTCCTTCCTTCTATCCAATCGTCCGTCCGTATGTTTGTCCGTGCGTTCGCCCGTCCATCTATCCATCCATTCATCCACGACTTGGTTTGATTGTCTAGTTAAGTCGTAGCCAGCAAGCCAACTGTTTGTGAAAGGATAGCTTTCCCCGTTTAATCTTCGACAGAGCCTAAGCTGGATTAGACACGTAGTTGTCTCTAATGAAAATATAGTTTGCCATAAAATCAATCCGAGAGGAGCAAGAGAAGGATCACTTCCGATAAACTCATAATAGTGCGCGTTAACAATTATGTAATATCACTCCGTGGGATGTTACATGATATTTTCTTATATAAATGACTGTCTCTAATAACTAGAATTGTCACAATCGGCGAACATTGTTAAGTCATTAGGAAGCACGTTTACAAATAAATTACCGCGCATTACGTCCAAACATATTTTATCCGTAATTTATATAAACGCCTACCTCTAATAAGGGTGGGGCAGTGGTGGTCAAGTGGATGGCGCACTTGATTTGGCACTAAAAGCTATCGGGCTGGACACCTGTCGTGGCCACTGCTGTTGAGCTCCTGAGCAAGACACTTTACACTGATTTGCTTCAGTCGACACTTGCTGTAAGAACGGGTTAATCTCGTTAGCGCGAGGTGAACAACCTCACTCAAATACCAGCGAGCAGCCCTGTCCAACATTGTAGGCCGGGAGCTAGAAGGGTCCACCGTGCACCCCCCCCACAAACCTCCGAACCAATATTTTTCTGAAGCCCCATGACCCCCTGATCACGAAAATAAATGTTAACATTGCGTAAGTTGGGACGAACTTCCGGTTATGACGTCATCCATAGTGAAATTTACCCAAAATGTGAAAAAAATCATAAAATCGTTATTTTTCGATCAAATTAAACAAATGAGGTATCAAAATGACCGCAATAGAATAACAAACACATCTATTAACAAAACAAACTAATATAAAAAGATTTATTTCCAAAAAATGAATTTATATCGATTTTGAGATCAAAATTAAAAATTTAAGTGTTCGGGGAGTCGCAGATCATCGGGTTCATAGGAATGCTCGTGGGAATCACCACAGCTCTCGTCGGTACGAAGATGAAACAACAGTCATCAACACAGACTATCTGTCTGTCAGTCTGCCTGCCTGTCTTTCTGTCTGTCTATCCGTTCGTCCGTTCTTCCATCCATCCATCCATCCATCTATCCATGTATCCATCCATGTATCCATCCATGTATCCATCCATGTATCCATCCATCCATCCATGTATCCATGCATCCATGCATCCATGCATCCATGCATCCCATGCATCCATCCCATCCCATCCCATCCTATCCCATCCCATCCCATCCCATCCCATCCCATCCCATCCCATCCATCCCATCCATCCCATCTATCCCATCCCATCATCCCATCTAT